TGATTATTTTATACGTGGATTGTGGGACTGCGGGGCTTGGTGGAAGCTGGAGAGAAGCCCTCCAGCAACACCAGATCCTGTTAAGTTGACAACCAACTATCACACTAACCATATTAATTTCTTTCCTTTCTCTTTCCACTCTTTCTTATAGATGCTTTATGGTTTCTACTCTTCCTTTATTTCTTTGAATATTTAAAGTATTTCTATCTAAGACTTCTTTCAGTGTTTTCCATGATCACTAGCTCTTGGGGATGTGAAGCTTCCCACTTGTTGCTGGCTTTCTTGCTGTGGCTCATTTCTTTTTGCAGTCTATAATTTTAGATGCACACTGTGAGCAGTGACCATTTGCCTTAGCTGAGGCATTAAGGGTCAGCAACTGAAAAGACTCCAACACTGTCCCCTGGCTCAACGTCCCAGGGCAGGATGGGAGATGATGAACTGTGGGTCTTAGAAAATGTGCGCTACAATTAGACATGTATATCACGCCACCTCCAAGGCCCAGGGAACATCATGGAAGACAGGGCAGAAAGCATGCAAAGGTAAGGAGGGGTGATGTAGAACACTGTCTTCCATGTGTGACATGGTCCTAAACTCAGCAGCCGTGATTACTTGCAAAAGACTGGACTGGACAGTAGTCCATCTTGGAGAGGGAGAACGTTCATAAGGCCCTTCCCCTTTCTGAGGATGTGTAGGCAGTTAATGGTTGCTGGAGGCGAGACACTTTCTTCAATGTCATAGCCACTGGTAAGTGCATGTGTTCTTGTAAACACCTCTGACCCATGCTTCTATAAGCAACCATAATGAAACCCAGTGGGTCATCAAAGTGAAAAGCCAAATATCAAAGTAAAGGAGACTAAGTAGTTGGGGAGTCAATGGACATGGAAGGATGTAGCAGGAATCTTGAAATTCTCATTAATAAAAACAAACCTGGAGCTGGGTATTGGGGTGAAGGCTGGAAGATCAGAGAAGCAGAACAAGCCACAGCCACCTCACCTGGCCAGTTCCTCAGCTGATCCTGTTTCCTCAGCCTGGAAGCCTCTGAGTCCTCATCCAAATGGATCTCAGCTGAACTGCTGTTCAAAAGCCTAAAGGCTTAACCAGCCAAATGCTTCTAGTTTCTGGTCCTCATGCCTAATATACCTTTCTGCTTTCTGCCATCACCCCCTGGGATTAAAGGCTCACTTTCTGGGATTAAAGGCGTGATTCACCATGCTTGGCTGTATTCTTGAACACACAGAGATCCAGGTAGATCTCTGCCTCTGGAATGCTAGGATTAAAGGCGTGTGTGCCACCATTTTCTGGCCTCTGTATCTAGTGGCTGTTCAGTTCTCTGACCCCAGATAAGTTTATTAGGGTGTACAATATTTTGGGGAACACAATACCACCACAGAAGGAGGTCATGATGAGAAGGTGGATATGACCAAAATTCATTATGTACATGTATGGAAACAACATAATGAAACCCATTAATATGTATAATTAACATATGTTAATAAAAATACTATAAGCAAAAAACTACATCCTATGTTACACATCTCTGTTGTGAAACTATTTGTGTGACCTTGGGCAAATGACTCATCTTCATTTTCTTATCTGTGAAGTAGAAATCATGATTCTACTTGTGGAGATGCTGTGAAGAATTAGCACAATAGTCAACACAGGAGCAAATAGCTTAATTTTCCATGTAGTAAATGCTTAACAGCTATTACCAGGTACTCTAAACATAGGGTAACCATTATGTGTTTATATATCTGTGAATATTTTCATGTTTTGTGATGGAAGGAGCTTAATTTATGAACACACACACATATATACACATACACACATTTATATACGTGCACACATGCTCACAGTACACACACACACACACACACACACACACACACACACACACACACACAGCCAGTCCTCATATGTGGACAGCAGTCAGATATATTTGCTTCACTTGTGACATAAATTGGAAATGGGAGCAGAAACCATCACAAGAACACACTTGGCTCCCACCACTTCTGAGAGGCATGGACAAGAGTGGGCACAGAGTCTAAGACATTATCTTCAAAACACCCAAAGTCCAGTTTGGGAGTTAGATCCTTTGCCAACTATTTTGGATCATTAAAATATAGCAGTAGAGAACGTTCTTGCTGAGAGGAAAATGACCCAGATAAATTTCTTCAGTTCTATTCATAGGGAACATACATTTAACTCCTTGGCCATGTTTCCCTTGGTTGTCATTCCCTGCAAATAGTTAGATACAGAATAGCAGCTCTCTGAACCCACAGCTGATGCTCAGCCACACTCTTTGTTTATTGCCGAGAAGGTAGAGTGTATTCGTTACTTTTCTCATTGCTCTGACAAACGTTGAGAGAAGTCACTGAAGGGAGGAGGGGTTTATTTTGACCCAAGGTTTGAGATGGTCCAATCTATCACAGGGGGAGGAGCAGCAGGAGTGCTCCAGAGGGAGGCACGGCAAAGGGAGTGCTCCAGAGGGAGTGCTCCAGAGGGAGTGCTCCAGAGGGAGGCACGACAGAGGGAGTGCTCCAGAGGGAGTGCTCCAGAGGGAG